GTATATATATATGTATATGTATATATATATGTATATATATATATATATATGTATACTGTCTATATATATATATATATATATATATATATATATATATATGGTACTAAATAGCGCAACTTAGATATTGTTGTAATGTTCCGGACCTTTGCCCGAGGACATTTTCTCAATCTGGACCTTTTGGAATTTGAATTGAAGACCCCTGAAATAGAACATTATCGTACTGGTTCTTTCTGCAGCACCGAGCAAAGCTCCCCCTCCCCCTCCTCCTCCTCCTCCTGAAGAAGAAGAAGAAGAAGAGAAGAAGGAAGAAACGCCTACAACAGCAGAAGAGGAAGAGGAAGAGAAGGATTTTTTGCTCCCCTTTGAACTTCTTGGACATCCAGTGACAATTCCCAAACTGCCCCCGATGCCGGACTGGGTCCGAGTCCTGATGGAGTACCGCTTCCCTTCCAGCATCGACCCGTTCACCGGTGAGCCGACAGATATTTTCAGAAAACTTGAATTTAGATATTTTATGTTCATTTATTATACATTTATATAATATCTATGTCTTTGTCTGTCCAGCTGTCCTCTCCATCCACAGATAATTCTGTGTTAGTACATTGAGTCAGATCCTCGTATGTGTTCACATTAAATGTGATGCTGTCAATTATAAAACCTCCATTCTTAAGATGACAACATTTAACAAAGCTGTCTGCTCCTTCACCTCTGGACTAATTCATATTTAAAGATAGTTTTCTTATATTTACATATTAATCGTCTGGTAATAAAGAAATATTATTGTCATAAAAATGATGGAGATTCTAATCATGTGAAAACTTGTCGTATTTTTCTTTGAACATTAGCAGTAAGTACCATGTTGACAGCGCTGGAAGAAGTACTTTGATCTTTTACTGCAGTAAAAGTACTAATACCACAGTGTAGAAGTAGCCACAAGTAAAAGTCCTGCTTTCTAAATGATACTTTACGAAACAGCATCAAAATATACTTCAAGTACCAAAAGTAGAAGTATTATGATGCAGAATAATATACTGTATATTATTTTATTGAAGGTGGAGCTCATTTGAATGACTTCATGTTCATCTGTAACAATACTTCATCATTTATGAGTACAGTATCTAAAGCTGTCAGGTAAATGTAGTAAAAAGTACATTTGCTCTGAGATGTAGTGAAGGAAAAGTATAAAGTAGCATGAAGTGGAAATACTCAAGTAAAGTAAAGTACCTCAAAAAAGGTACAGTATGAGTAAAAGTACTTGTTACTTTCCAGCATGTTGCTGGGCTGATGAGGACTTCCTGTCTCCGTCTCACAGATCTGATCTACGTCATCTGGCTCTTCTGTGTCGTGGCGGCCTGGAACTGGAACGTGTGGTTGATTCCCGTCCGCTGGGCGTTCCCCTACCAGACCCCTGAGAACCTCCACCTGTGGCTGCTGATGGACTACACCTGCGACCTCATCTACGTCACCGACATCCTGGTCTTCCAGCCCAGACTGCAGTTCGTCCGCGGAGGAGACATCGTGGTCGGTGGAACCACCAGAAATAACTTCAAATCTGTCTTTTGATTTTTACTCTCTAACCTGCAACTTCTTCATTCCAGTGTGATAAGAAGGACATGAGAGAGAACTACATGACCACTGAGAGGTTTAAGGTAAGATGCAAAGAAAATACTTTCATGGTTCCCAACCACAGTTTGAGACCCTTCAGAGGGTCGCAGGATCAATCTGAGAGGTGTTTCCTTTTGATTCATTGATATACCATTATCATACATATATTAATATGTGTGTATATCTTTATGAAGTACTGACAGTTATAACTCTCATTTCTCATATTCAAAAGTTTTTTCATGATTTAATGTTATGATAAAGAAATAATCCACATAATATCTTATTCCTCTTTGATTTCTTGCTATTGATGAAACATGAGAGCTTGATTCTTCTCTCGTGTCTCAGATGGACGTCATCAGTCTGTTTCCCATGGAGATACTTTACTGCTTCACCGGAGTGAACTCTCTGCTGAGATTCCCTCGTCTGCTGAAGGTCAGCAGCTGTTCTGTGTTCATGCAGATGTTGATCCTGATGATGATAAACCGCTGACTCGTCTCTCCTCTCTCAGTACATGGCTTTCTTTGAGTTCAACGACAGAATGGAAGCCGTGATGAAGAAAGCGTACATCTACAGGTGAGGAGACTTTGGTAACAACAGGAGAAGCTGTTTCATTAACACCACAGATCACAAGTTTCTGGTTATGACTCACAAACAATATCCTAAAAGAGTTGTTTATGACGTCAGTGGGTCAATAAAACCTTTCATTTGATAAACTGGTTATTTTCAGTCTCAACTAAAACACTTTAGAGGCTTCATTCATGCAGCGCCTCATAAACAGGTAAATAATAAATAATTAAACATTTTATGTGAATATTACAGTTTAGTGATGGAGGAATGGATGTAATATCAACCCTCCGCCTGGTGTCGTCTGCCCCCCCCCCCCCACACACACACACACTAATAAAGAGCTCTGAATATTATCAATCACAGCAACATAAAACGCTGTGTCGTCTGTATAGAGGCTGACAAAAAAGAGAATTAAGAAGCATTTCTGACGTTGTATTTGTGATTGTGCACATTTTTGATATATTGATCTTGTATTTCTTTATATTTGCATTTACACTTATATTCGTTCTTTGAACTGCAGCTGTCCTCTGAATAAAAAGGGTTTTATATTTTCTTATATAAATATTACAGGTAAAAAAGCACCAGAATTGATCTTTGAGGAACCTCACATGTAATTATGTTGGTGCGTGTGTGTGTGTGTGTGTGTGTGTGTGTGTGTGTGTGTGCGCGTTTGTGCGTGTGTGTGTGTGCGTGTGTGTGTGCGTGTCTGTGTGCATGTGTGTGTGTGTGTGCGTGTGCGTGTGTATGTGTGTCAGGGTGATCCGGACCTCTACCTACCTGCTGTACTCTCTGCACATCAATGCTTGTCTCTTCTACTGGGGGTCAGACTATGAAGGACTGGGATCCACCAAGTGGGTCTACGACGGGAAAGGAAACGCGTAAGAATCTCCTCTCACCTTCTGGACCAGTTTAAGAGGCTTCTGCTTCACACCACTCTGTCAATACAACAAGAATACATTTCGATTCAATTCAATTTATTTTTGTATCGCCCAAAATCACAAGTTACAAATTCTCCTCAGAGGGCTCTACAATCTGTACACATGTGACATCCTCTGACCTTTGACCCTCACATCGGAACAGGAAGACCTCCCCAAAAACCCTTTAAAGGGAGAAAAGAGGGAGAGACCCGAGGGAGAGCAACAGAGGAGGATCCTCTATCAGGATGAAGTGTGATGTCATGTGTACACAATGAACAACACAACAGAGTTACAACACATTCAATGTGTATGACAGAACCACGGCAGGAGGCAAGACCAGGTCCAGGTATAACCAGGATCCACAGGAACCTGTGAGGAGAGAAAGCACAGAGACAAATTCAGTAATGTGCATTAATGGTATCGGTAATAAAATAGTAATGTGAGTAATAATAAAAGTGATTTGAAAATGAACAAGATACTTTCGACAAACAAAGTTGAAGTTTGAATCTCTGAGCGTGATCATCTATGGGCTGAGAACAGAAGTGAACTATGAAGCACGAGGCTGAACAGACCTGATTTCTAACTGCAGATGGATCTCACATGTACTTTTGTTTTTCCTACAGTTATATTCGCTGTTACTATTTTGCCGTGAAGACGTTGATCACCATCGGAGGACTACCGGACCCCACCACCGTCTTTGAGATCTGCTTCCAGCTCATCAATTACTTTGTCGGCGTCTTTGCCTTTTCCATCATGATCGGTCAGGTCAGTTATTTATAATAATAATAATAATAAATCGATTTTCTATAGCGCTTTTCAAAATACCCAAAGACGCTTTACAGGGCAAAGACAAACAGAACAAACAAACAAAACAAAAAAAAGAAAGACAGAGGAGCAAACAAAACAAACAGAACATTTTGGTAAAAAAAAAGAATGACTGGAGAAGCTGTGCTGAATGGGTCATGTAAAGGAGGGTAGGGTGCAGGCAGGTGAAGGCGAGGTTGAAGAGGTGGGTTTTGAGGGCTTGTTTGAATGATGATAGGGAGGGAGCCTCACGGATGTGGATGGGGAGGGCGTTCCAGAGGGGAGGTGCAGCAGCTGAGAAGGCCCCGTCACCCCAAGTCCGGCACTTGGTCCTGATGGTCTTCAGAGTGTTTGCACCGGTGGACCTGAGGCAACGGGTTGGGGCGTGGAGGGGGAGGAGGTCTGAAAGGTAGGGAGGAGCCAGGTTGTTTAGGGCTTTGTAGGTGGCGAGTAGTATTTTGAAGTCTATTCTGTATTTGACCGGGAGCCAGTGGAGGTTGGTTGGGAGAACCATAGAGGATGCTGTTGCAGTAGTCGAGTCTGGAGTTTATGAGGGTATGGATGAGAATTTCGGTGGTGGCAGAGGACAGGGAGGGTCTGAGGCGTGCAATGTTCCTGAGGTGAAAGAAGGCAGTCTTGGTGATGTGGTTGGCCTGAGGTAGGAAAGAGAGGGTGGGGTCGAGGATGATACCGAGGTTGCGGACATTGGTGGAGGGGGTGACGATGGAGCCATCAATGTCGAGGGAGAAGGGCTGGGCTGAACGGGTGAGGGAGTTAGGGCCGATGATGAGTATTTCAGATGTATTGCAGTCGAGTTTAAGAAAGTTCTGTTGCATCCATGATGTTATATCAGTGAGACAGGTGGTGAGAGTGGAGTGGGTGACGGAGGTGATGGTCTTGGTGGAGAAGTAGAGTTGGGTGTCGTCAGCGTAGCAGTGGAAGTTGAGACCATGACGATGGATGATTTGTCCAAGGGGAAGGATGTAAATGATGAAGAGGAGGGGACCAAGCACGGAACCTTGGGGGACACCGTGGGTGACTGGGGAGGTAGAGGATTTACAGTTGTTTATTGCAATGAATTGAAGTCGGTCTGAGAGATATGAGGTGAACCAGGAGAGGGCAGTGCCAGTTATGCCAAGGGAGTACTGGAGACGTGAGAGGAGGATGGATTGGTTGATAGTGTCGAAGGCGGCGCTGAGGTCAAGGAGGATGAGGATGGTGAGGAAGCCAGAGTCAGCAGAGAGAAGTATGTCATTTGTGACTTTCAGTAGAGCGGTTTCTGTGCTGTGTTTTGAACGGAAGCCGGATTGGAAGGGTTCGTAGAGATTATGGAGATTGAGGTGGGACTTGAGTTGTGATGCAACAGCTCTCTCAAGGACTTTAGACAGGTAGGGGAGGTTGGAGATGGGCCGGTAGTTGTTGGGGATGTCGGGGTCAAGACTAGGTTCTTTCAGCACGGGGGTGACAGCAGCGATCTTGAGTGTGGGGGGTATGAGACCAGAAGACAGTGAGGAGTTGATTATGTTGGTGATGAGAGGGGAGAGTGAGGGGAGGCAGGCCTTGACTAAGGAAGAGGGTAGGGGGTCAAGGGCACAGGTGGAAGTCTTCATGCTGGAGAGTATGGAGGAGAGGTCCATTTCAGTGATTGAACTGAAGGATGAGAGTGAGTGGCTTGGAAGTAGGGGAGTCATGTTGAGGGCTTGGGGGGTGGTAGAGGGGGGGGAGGGGCTGCCAGCTGGTTGTGTATTGCAGTGATTTTGTCGTTGAAGAAGGATAGAAATGAGTAGCCTTTGCTGGTGGTGAAGGAGGTGGAGATGGTGTCCATGGGCTTGAGGAGTTTGTTGATGGTGGAGAAAAGCGTTTTGGGGTTGTTGAAGCCAGATTGGATGATGGAGGAGTAGTGAGAGGAGCGAGCGGTATTGAGGGCATCTTTATATTGTTGTTGGTGGAGTTTGAAGGCATCGAGGTGAACAGTAAGTCCAGTTTTGTTGGCAAGACGTTCCAGTTGACGGCCCTGCACTTTGAGGAGGCGAAGTCGGTCAGTGTACCAGGGGGCGGAGTGGGTGAAGGAGACGAGTTTGGATTTTTTGGGGGCGATGACGTCAAGACAGGAGGAGAGTGCATCATTATAGTACTTGACTAGGGCAGTGGGGGAGGCAGTCGAAATAGGGGCAGAGGCAGAGACAGTGGCAGCCAAGGTGGAGGAGAGCGAGGAGATGTTGATAGACTTGATGTTCCGGAATGTTATGGTGCGATTCTGCTTAACATGGGGGGTGGGGATGTCTATGTCCAAGGTGATAGCCAGGTGATCAGAGATGGTGAGGTCGATGCTGGTTAGATCGCTGATGGTAATGCTGGATGTGCAGACCAGGTCAAGTGTGTGTCCTTTTTTATGGGTGGGAAAGTCGACATGTTGGGTGATGTTGAAGTAGTTAAAGATGTCCAGGAGTTCTGTAGAAGTTGTGGAGTCAGATGAGTCGACGTGTATGTTAAAAATATTAATGTAAATAATAAATATAATATTAATGATGATAACTTTCAACGTTACAAAGCGATTACAGTCAAACAAAGAATACAAAGTGAATAGAATCTGTGGAAACGTTGAGATAAAGGTATTTGTGTCTTTGTGATGGTCTCAGATGAGAGACGTGGTCGGAGCTGCGACAGCCGGTGAGAACTACTACCGAGCCTGCATGGACAGCACCGTCAAGTACATGACGTCCTACAACATCCCCGGAGAGGTCCAGAACCGCATCAAGACCTGGTACGACTACACCTGGAAGAGCCAGGGCATGCTGGGTAAGAGGAATCCTCAGTTTGTGTCCCAGTAAAAGATATTTTTCTTCAGTAGGCAACATGTGTAACGATACAGGCAGCAGGTAAAACAGGTGCTCGTAAACACAGAAGCAACTCAAAATGCAAAGAAGAACATTTGAAGACACAATGTGAATCAGGTTTAAAATACAATAGAAATGGACAAAAAATGATAGCTTGATAGCTTTTTTATTATTTACTATTATTAGTATGTGTACATGTATGTACAGTTGTGTGAAAAAGTGTTTGCCCCCTTCCTGATTTCTTATTTTTTTGCATGTTTGTCACACTTAAATGTTTCAGATCATCAAACAAATTTAAATATTAGACAAAGATAACACAAGTAAACACAAAATGCAGTTTTTAAATGAAGGTTTTTATTATTAAGGGGGAAAAAAATCCAAACCTACATGGCCCTGTGTGAAAAAGTGATTGCCCCC